ACTGGAGAATTTTGTTCATTTTAGCATATCAAAACCAAAGTGTGTATAATACTAATGTTTTAATAAAACTGGAAATGGATTATTTGTGGAGAAATGTATGCATATCAAATTAACATTGCCTTTTAAAAACTGTTGCACTTAATACTAGAAAACATTTTAGAAGAACAAAAAAAAAAAAATTATCACTATAACACTACTTAGCATTACTTGAGCTCCTAATGAAAATGTAATCATGAAGAATTTCTTTGAACTACAATATTTAAAACAGGAAACCAACTGCATAGTTTCCCCTTGAATGTACATCATTATTTAAAAAATAAAATAAACATTAAATAAATTGTACAAACACTTTTTTTAAAAATCTTTTTCCCCAAGGAGAGTACCAGATCAACAATATGGCTGTTGTGAGGTGACTTGAAACATTGGAATTTTTCTTCAAGCAGATAAAGCCAGCAACCATCTGCCAATTGCATCCTAACCTCTATGCTTCAATGTTGTGCACCAAAGATTTGGGAGTGGGAGAGAATCTGCTTTGACTCTTTCTCCTAGTTTTTCACTCCCTTTTATGTGGGAGGAGGTAGGACAAAAGTTTAAAAAGGAAAAGATAATTATATAAAATATAGTTTTAAAAGGAAAAGATAATTATATTATGTGGAAGGTCGTTAAGAGAAAATACCCTAAACTTTTTTATCATCACCATTAAGAAAGTATGCTGAAATGTTCTTGGCCAAACCAAAAAGATCTTCAAGAAAATAAATAAAACCTTTATCAGATTTTGATAAGTTAACTAAGAAGTTTTCAGCAACATTTTGTACATGTAACACTAGAGAATTGGATGTTGTTTACCAAAATTCATCTCTCTTTTTTTTTTTTTTAAAATCATTTCACATTAAGCAAGGCAATAATACTAAGAGTGAAAAAGAATGGGAAGACTTTAATAAGGTGAAAGGACAATAAAAGCACATACAGTAAAACCTGTCAAACTTACCAAAGTTGGGACCACAAAAAAGTTGGTAAGTTTGACAGTATTGGTAAGTTTGACAAAAGAAAAATTTTTTTTAGAAAAATTCACCTAATAACCCCTAGACACGCTTAAAAATCCAAATCAAATGAAGTTTTCTGTACTCGGACAACTTTTTCTTTCTTAATACTTGCTTTCTTCTTGATTAATGATTTATATAAACTATAGTCATCCGGTGTCATTTCACGCTGGGAAATGTATAATAAAAAGTTCTTCTATATATTCTAAAGACTTTTGTGTGTTATTATAGGTGTTTTAGTTTCTTTAATCTCTTCTTCTGACTCATTACTCCCAATATTGTCGATATTTTTGAGTTTTCTATCTCATAAACTTCCTCTTCATAATTTCATCGTTGGGTGTACTCTATTGAATTGAAGCCCTTTAAATCTAACCCATCTAATATTTTCCCTTTTTCGATAAACCTTGCGTAATTTGAGTAGTCTTGAGGTGTTCTTCGTCGATATTGACATTAAAATCGGTGTCAGTATTTTTTTCTCCCTTGAGGTGTTTAAAACAATTCTTTATCTTTTTTTTACTCACTTTTTCCCATGCCATATCCGAAGAAAAAATGATCACATCAGCAAGATTTATTTTTTATAGCTCTCATAAACACTATCATCACCTTCAATCATTTCCAGGATTTTATCAAATTTAATTGATTGAAATGGCTTTTGAAGGACTTAATAATTCCTATATCCATAGGTTGTAAGTCACCAGTACTATTTCTTGGGAGAAAAACAAGCTCAATATTAGAATAATTTTTTAGAGATTTATGAGCTGGACAATTGTCAAGCAAAAGTACAACTTTTCTGTTGAAACGAACAAGATCTTGATTCCATTGATCTAGCCAATCAGAAAAAAAATAGTAGACGTCATCCACGCTCTTTTTGAACAAACATAATTTACTAAGTTTATCCCTGTAAAATTTTTAAAACATCTTGGTTTCTTAGTTTTTACCGATCAGCATCAACTTATGTTTGATGGATCCTGTCATATTCGAACAGAGCATTATGGAAACTCCATCTTTAAAATTTTATATCCTCTTCATGCTGTTTGGCAAACTGATTTAGATGGAATCAATTTATAAAATAATCCGGTTTCATCCATATTAAAGAAATTTTCCTCACCATAGATGCGGATTTTTTTTTTCAATTTGGCTAAGAAATTCATCGTGGTTTTTTGGTTCCTCACAGTATGTTTCTCCATGTAGAGGTTTGAGAGACAGTTTGTGTCTTTTTAAAGCTCTGGAGCCAACCATTTGAGGCTTTAAAATCTTCTATTCCATTATCTTGTGCAATCTTCTTTGATTGTGTGATTATTGTAAAATCATCAATAAAACCCCTTTTTGAGTTTATTAAATAAAAATATAATATTTGATAAAGCGTCATCAATAATTTTATATTTTTTACGGGCCTGTTCGATTTATTTTTTTTGGCAATGTATGACTCTCACTTTTGATTTTACTCTTAGAATTTATATAATTTTGGACAGATCTTCCGTCAATCTTAACTTTGAACTTTTTAGAGAAAAACAGGGCGGATTTTTCCACTTTCTCTTTTTTGTTGGTATAGTTTTTTCGATCATAAGTTATATTTTTTTGAAGAATGGCATGATTTTTTTTCCCAAAAATTTTGCGTAAGTTTGACAAAATGGTAAATCTGACAGGTTTTTTTTAGTAAATACAACAAGGCCCTCAAAATTCAAGTAAGTTTGACAGAACGTAACTTTGAGGGTGCGTAAGTTTGACAGGTTTCACTGTAGTTCAGGAATATAACTAGATGACAATTAGTGTTGAATTTAAATTTTTGAAGGTAGCAAAGAAAAGACAATTCCTCAAATAGAAGTTTAAGAAACAAAAATATTAGAATAAAAATTATGATTACATCTAAGTAGTCCAACAGTAAAATGAGACCTAGTTGCCAATCTAGTAGTACACTTAAATTCATGCAGTCAAAGAATGCTCATCAAAACAATTACCATGAAAATATTTGTAGAAAAGACAGAGGGAAGTCAGCACAGCAGTGGGAAAATGACTGAAGTTGCCACATCAAGACTGATTACACTGCAGACCCTTCTTTAGATTTTGTTGGGAATCTTGAAATATATAGGAGTACCAGGCCAGATATGGTAGCAATATTCATGAATGAATAGATGAATGATAGATTTATAAATGTACAAGATGGATTCTGACTTGAAAAATTGTCTGGTACAACACAGTGAATCAACTTTCTTAGCAGCAGATCTAGCAATTGATTCAATACTAACTTAAAAGCCACCCTATCGGGCAACATTTAAGCTAGCTCCTGTGGAGGGCTCTTAATTAAGCCTTTGGTTTGTTCAGGGGTTTGAGAGTCCCTAAGTCTTTGCATATTCTCAGCATTGGAAGCTCTCCTGGCTGCCATTTGATCTGGGTTTTCATTTGCATGGGACTTTTTCTTCACTGCAGCCTTGGCTCTTTTGATTGCAATCTGGTCTTCTGTTGGCACAAAATGTCTTTTTACAAAGCATATTGTTGCTGTATATGATAAGCAATAATAAACTACAGAAGAACTCAAAATTGATTGCTGCATTTAAGTATCGCATTAATATTTAAGCTTAGCATTTAAAAGTTAAACAATAATTCTTCTGACACTACTTAATTTGAAAACAATTTAATGTATATAGGTCCTTACTTACCATACAAACAATTATTTTTATTTCATGGGTGACTTTTGCTGGATTTCACAATTAATTTTGATTATTCCCAAATTTATTTCCAAGTTACAAAAATTATCATTGTACAAAAAAAAAATTATCACAAAAAAAATCACAAAGAAAACAATTGCCAAAAACAATCACAGTAATGAAATCTTGGGAATCCAAAATTTCTGTAACATGAGCTATTGAAAATGTAGAGAGTTGTGACCCTTTAATTGAAAAAGTGTGCCACAGTGACATTGGCATTTATTATATAGAAGCTAAGCTATTAAGAATTTTGTTCCTTTAATTGAAAAAAAAGGGAGACACAGTGACACACATGACATTATATAGATAATCACTCCACTTCATGTCAGTGGAAAATGTGAACGCAAAAAGGCACAAAGAATTTCTTTTCTGGAGGTTAGCATCAGCCATGCTGATAGCAGGAAGAAATGGTTCTCTGTGGTGTTTAAGTGATAGCAGTTTTGTTTTGGAGGCATTAAAATGTACAAACTATTCCCTACCCCAGTTAACCACTGATTGGAGGTCATTTTCAAGAGCAGCTGCCTGTTTTACTTTGTTGAACCTGTCAGACAGGAGTAAATAGTTGTGTTATCAGCATAGATACCAAGCTGGGAACTGATGATATCAAGGATGGTCATTGGTGAAGATAAAAAAACAATGGAGGTCCAAGAATAGAGCCCTGGGGACGTCTGCATGAATGTGAAAAATAAAATAATTTTTTTCTTTTTAAGATTAAGGATTTTTATTATTTTGTTACAAGCTATTTGTTTGTTTATTTCTAATTTGCATTATAAGCACCTACAGTCCAGGAATATATTGACAGTGATGCAATAGTAATAATGAAGACATGTGACACATGAAATCAAAATCTAAATCAATTTGAATACCCTTCAAGAATTGTTTTGTTTTCAATTTTTCTCCTCCCAAGAGCAGGAAAATCTTCATTCTTTAGTTTAACCACCAAGTCAGTAATGAATTGATTGCCCCCCACCCTCTTTTCCTTTACAGCTTAACCTTCTGTAGGTATTTAAAGCCAAAACTTATATTTTTTTTAATCTTTAGATTTTTTTTTTTTTTGTGAATAAATATTGTATTAACAATTATTTTGGAGATAATGATTTTAAGATACTATTTAACCGATAGATGGGAGGAAGAGGTGGTGTTCTACTTTTCCTGAGGGTATTTGTGCAAGTTAATGTAATGAACCAATCTGGAAACAAATTCTTTGGCTTCTTATTCCAAAGGGTTATCCATTAGACCATATGCACATCCCATATTACAGCACTTGGTATCCCCCAGCAGTCACCCATCTAGTTACTGACCAGACTCAACATTGCTTAATTTCTGTAATCAGATGAGAACCAGTGTTTCAACATGATATGGCCATAAACCAGCCAGTAGTGGAAGAAGAAAAAAATATTGAAAAGTAAAAATGATCCATTGCTTGTTTTTCTTAGGTCAGGAGAAAGATAGTAAGCAGACAAAAATTGTTTAGAGCTACAAAGAATGAGAAGTTGTAGAGAGCCATGATTGCCCACAACACAAAAATATTGATAATGTAAGGATAAAAAGCAACACTGAGGAAAATTGTTAATAGTAATAATGAAAGGTATATAGATATAATGCAGGGATAAAAAGCAACAATAAGATAAAGTAAAACTAGTAATAAAATAATAGTAATAATGAAAAGATTATTAACTCCAAGTGTTTGGATCACATACAAGACGAGCATATCGATTTAGTGTTGAGAATAAAAGCAAAAATAAATTAAAAATAATATATATATATATATATATATATATATATATAAAAAAACAGAGGATGTTGTCTGTGATACCTTTGCACTCGAGATCCATCCAACCAATTTTGACCAAACTTGGCATATACATTGTACAATGTAAGAGATAGGTTCTTAGCATAAAAAAAATTTTTAAAAAATGATAATTTTTAAAAATCAATAATCAATAAAGCCAAGCAAAAATGGATAAATTCCACTTTTTCCTCCAATTTTGTTCAAATTCTGTATGTAGGTTACTTACATTAATGGCAAGCTCAACGATACCTCATTTTTATTTCTATGCCATTGTGTTTAGTGAAAAACAAAATAAACTAAAAGCTCCCTCAATTTTCAATACAAACTTCACTCAATTGTAGCTAACAAGTTGATTGTTTAGCAGTCATTTAACCTGATAATTGAGTCAACCCCCATATAGTGAAAACCCAGGTAAATAGAGAAAAATGGCGATTTTTACTCTTTCTTATTTTTTGTTGATCTTTCAACCAATTTTAATCAAACTTAATTGCTTTATCAATGTATCCTCTTTTACATCCCTGGTAGCATTTTTGTGAGAAATCTTCTCGAATTTTAAGAGTTTAATAAATTTGTACTTCATTCATTCTATACTTCTACAGTAACAGTATTGAACTTGACCTAACCACCAATTGCAGAAAAGAATTTTGAATACCGATTTTCTAAGGAGACTAACCCTCCCCATTAAAAAAGTCAGATTAGCTTTCTTACTGTATTTCCTGTCCACTTATTTGGCTTTGCTGCTATAATGAGCTCTTGGAGCTGTAATTTCAAATGCTGATTCTTGCGGCAGGTAGGCAGGCCTTTCCAATGGAAAGTTGAGGGAAGCGTTAACCATCTTTCTATTCACACACCCCTATATAATCTTGTGCCATATTTAGCTTACTAAATATCATAACACGAAAGACTATCATTTCAACAGTTCAATCCATTGATTTTATGACTAACTACAGATATTTTGGACATAATTTTATACTTTCAAGGCAAACGTTTTTTTAGATATATAGTTTGTAGATGATAAAATGTATTTTTTATACTATTTTAAAGTTTTATTGTTGGTCATTATTTTTATAATAAAAAAAATATTTCTTGAGAGGTTCACTATTTCCTCATAGCAGGGATCCTATCAGGTGCTACTACCCTGGGGTAGGGTGGATCTGGGAACAACATTAATTAAAAGTTGGTTCCATGCACCTCAAAATCTCCAATCTCTCAATTAGAAACCATGATACCAGATGTAGTTAATGGTCATACCCAGGACTAAATCCTGATTGGGTACCTTACAATAGTGATAGCCACTATTGTAAGGTACCCAATTGACTGACTTCCAGTAAAAATCTGAATGTCTTGTAGAAATAAAACCAACACTTTAATCCATTTGTCTATTGCCCCACTGATAAAGGCCAGAGGACACAACAGCCAAAATGTTGTGATAATAATGGCAAAATGAGGACAACTAAGGTGTTTATCATTTTTGTTGGGTTATTTAGGACAAAAAAAATATCACAATGACCTAATAATTCCAATATTAGTCTTATATTAATCACCATTAAGAACACCTCCCTAAATTTAATGTTTTAGCATTTTTTTTCTTCAATATAACTAGAATTTAAATGTATACAAGTAATATTTAATGTAAGAATTAGTTTCAACAGATCAAAATGGCATCTTTAAAACATTTCTTTGCTAACATGAGGTTATCTTAGTGGATTTAATAAACTTTCAAACCATGCTGGGATATTAGGAGATAAATGTGGCTCAGAAGTTACAGCATTAGGGCCAGAGTATTTTAAAATTAAAATGGAGAATTGGATCAAAAGTGGTTGGATTTTTATTAACTTTAATTCAAAAGAAAAATAGACTACAAACCTGGTTAAGGGACTGGACATTTGAAATAACTGTACGTGGTTATGATCGCAAAAAAGTATAACTGTATGTGGTTATGGTCGCAGAAAGGTATGACTGTACGTGGCTATGGTCGCAGAAAGGTATGACTGTACGTGGCTATGGTCGCAGAAAGGTATGACTGTACGTGGCTATGGTCGCAGAAAGGTATGACTAAAAATGGGGCAATGGCATCAAAAAAATTTATGACTGTACGAAGGGCTATGGTTGTTCAGAAAGGTATGACTGTACGTGGCTATGGTCGCAGAAAGGTATGACTGTACGTGACTATGGTCGCAGAAAGGTATGACTGTACGTGACTATGGTCGCAAAAAAGTATAACTGTACATGGCTATGGTTGCAAAAAACTGTACGTGGCTATGGTCGCAAAAAAGTATAACTGTACATGGCTATGGTCGCAGAAAGATATAACTGTACGTGGCTATGGTCGCAGAAAGGTATAACTGTACGTGGCTATGGTCGCAGAAAGGTATAACTGTGCTTATGATCATAAAAGGTATATTGTTGATTGGTATGTGTAGTGTTTTCACTCTGGGATCTTATAGGAACTAAGTGAGCATTGATTTTTGTCGCTTTATTTATACTGAAAACAAGATTCTATGTGATACTGGCAAGATTAGACATTTCCTTTAAAAGTAACATTAAGCATTGATTGACTGAACAAATAGTGATGTTTTCAGTGAAAATTTATAAAAATCTTTCTCTTAAAACAGTTTTTTTCAGGAAGATAGGTTTCTCAAATCAACTGTCATTGCTCTTTCTAGGATTCATAAGAGTTTTCATTCCTAACTTTTTGTTTAAAATAGCAACATCTTGATTATATCATTATTTTTTCTTAGAATTACATGTGCTATTCATTTAATTGTTGTTGTTGCTTTAAGTGATGTAGTTTCTACTATTTGATATGGGCAACTGCCATCATATTTGGGCAGGTGCTGACAAATCCTCACTTTCCAGTCTCAATAGAGTTCAAAAACATCACTGCATCCTTGTAGATGATGTATTATTTTTCACCTTGTAACCCCTCTCTCACAGACGAGAGGTAGCAAGACTCACTTCTCTATTGCTACTTCCGTGGAAAGTGCTCAAACGAACTGCCTTGCTTAGTTCCACCAGTTCTAATCTTCACAGCTAGGATCTGCTATGCTAAGTATATTGTAGCAAACCACCCTCATTCTCTAAATATTCCACTGGTGAGAAGTTCCACTAAAGTAGCTTCTTCACATGAACCACTGCTCTGACACCCAATTACAATCTTAACCTGTCTAAGTCTAGAGTTAACCATCATCTTCCCCACCTATTTGCAGAAACTGTGCCTCTGTAACCCTCTAACTAGAGTGGTCCCAAGAACTTGTAATGGGTGAACCTCACAGTGTATTAAAAAAAAAAAAAAAAAAAGTTCTTTCTTTGAGATTCTGTAGCACCAGTCTATGAAGACTCCCACTTCAAGACCCACAGGTTTCATTCATTCAAAACCATTTTTAGTCATTGATCTGAGAAAGTAGTTGATAATTTAAATATTTCTGAATAAGTTGGATGCTATACATGACATCCGGGTGAGAGTCTACATTAGATGAGGCTATTTAAAAACATAACATGTTCTTATGTTAATGTTTTGGTTTTCTAGCACCTTGAATCATTAGACAAAATTACTCCTAACACAGTCTATTTTATATTCAATTTCTTTATTTCCAATACTAAATGTGTTATGACTGCTACATATACTGACATATACCAAGAAATTAATATTTATTAATTCCACATCCTGAATTTTTATGATGGATTCAGTGTAAGTGCCATCATTGCTTTCATTCCAATTCCAGGTAGTTCGTTTTAAAACTATTTAAGAACATAAATTGAGTTTTAAGGTTAATCTTTTGGTTTTGTAGCAACTTGCAGTATTGGGTGAAACTATCTCTAGCACAGCCTATTCTAATGCTCAATTTCCTTATCTCCTATACTAATTTTTTTATAACTGATCCAGACACTGTGGTATCTGAAGTGTTTAGTATTTACTAATTATTCCACATCCTGAATTTTTGTGATGGATTCAGGGTAGGTATCATGACTGCTTTCATTTCAATTCCAGATTGTTTTGGAAAGGTTTGTGCCCCATTTGTTGGAACACTTGATAGAGGATGCTGATTTTCTGTTCAAGAATTCATAGTTGAAATAAGGACAATGGCATTAGTATCACCCCCCCCACATCATCAATACACTGGCCTCTGGATGGAAAATATGAATAGTGTTTTCTATTAGTACATTCATTTGAGATGTGGTATTGAGTATATTTAATGATCTACACCCATATCTTACGATTTGTGCTTGTACACATATGGAGCCACAGAAGTGATTAAATAGATTGGGGCTCTCATTTCCTCCTTTGTACTCCTGATAGGGTTTGAAATGATACAGTGTTTGAGTTTTCAACAAACATACAACTTTGTGGGCCAATATAGTTCCTCTATCAGGTCAGTACAGGCTGAGGTTGTTAGATGGTTTTTTGATGGATGAGAAAAGAGTCTTTATTGATGTGGTTACATGATGCTATGAAATCAATACAACAGGTATACCACATTCTATTAAATAGGTAAGCAATTTCCAGGAGTTGCTTCATGACATGGACGTCATCACTGCACTCCTAACCAAAACAAAAGCTAAACTGGGTTGTT